TGAAAAATAACACAGCAGCATGCGCTGCATTAAAGCCCCAGAAGTGTTACGGCCAAGAGTTGGACTGTCTTGGCTCATGGGTCAAGGGAGTTGCAGTGTCTGACCTTGTCATTCCTGTGCCACATAGACCGCAAGGAGAGCGTAAGCATATTGGGACGTTTTCGAATGTGAGCCTGTTTATTGGTGACATGCAGCCCACCAAGCAGCAGGGTTGGTAGGTTGGTTTGGGGCTTTAAATACAAAAGCTGGGTGTTTGTGGCTGCAACCTTTATGTTTTTACTGAACTGTACTGGAATAGTTAAAGCATTTTCTGCAGTAAATAAACTCTTAACTCCCGCCTTAGTCTCACTGGCAGTTGCTCTTGGAAAACCTTAACTTATGAAATGCAATCTAGTTGGTATGTAGTTGTAGAGATTCATGCCCCTCAGTCAATGCAAGTTTGACTTCTTATTCAACAGTCTGTACCCCATTGGGTTTGGGTGTGTACTGATAAAAGTATGGCTTTGTATTAATGTGTATGTGGAAAAGACCGAAGCTAAAATCTGCTGATTCAAATTCTTTGGTGTTGAATTCAAAATTGCATTTTAGTATTTATCTGATTTAATGAAATTTGTAAAAGTTCGCTTTCTGTACTGCTTTTGACTTTGAAGTTCAGCATTTAACCATGATACCCACAGAGAAGAAATCAAAGAGACAGGAGGGAACGTTAACTTCCAACTTGGGCATTTGGGTGCAGTATTACTATAGCTGAAGCAGGAGAAGTAGTTTTACCTCTTGTCTTATCGCTGGCAGCACTTTGAGCCTGGCAGTTATTCTTAGCTATTCATGCATATTTTCTCAGTAGTGAAGGAAAACTAAAACTGAGATGTGACTGCTATACTCCAAATGGATATGAGTTTCTTAAAAAAAAAAATTAAAAAAAAAATTAGTATTTCTGCAGTAACCAGACGTGATCAAGTCTGGGACACAAGGTTAGTTTTCATGGGATACTGAACGAGAGAATAGAGAATCGAGAGCCTGTTCTCAATCCATGCTTGCATGCCTTGGCTGTATACGTGAGAAGCATTTGGCTGTGTGGTACTTTAGAGTGTGTATGTATGGATTGCGACTACATTTAGGCGCTAACAGTGATGTAGAGTCATTCCATTTAATATTAAGAAAACAATGTTTTCTCTCCTGTGCTTTCTTCATAGGAAAAGTGAAAGTTACTCCACATCAAGCGGTTCGAAGTCCCACAGCCGCTCGAGGAGCCGCAGTGACTCTCCTCCAAGACAGTTCAACCACAGTTCTAGCTACAAAGGTTCCAAGGTGAGAAGTTACAAGAAATCAAAAGACTACAAATACTCAACACACAAACCACGGAAATCGCGCAGCAGGAGTTCGTCGCGTTCCAGGAGCCGATCCCGGGAGCGCTCTGACCATTCGGGGAAGTACAAGAAGAAGAGTCACTACTACAGAAATCACAGGCATGAGCGTTCGCGCTCCTATGAGCGAGCAAGTCATCGCTATGACCGAGACCATCCTGGCCACAGTAGGCATAGGCGATGAATAAAGCAAAAAGTTCTTTCCTTTGGAATTTAAGCAGTGGAGCTCTTCCCCATTTGGTCTTTGCAGTATAGGGTTAACCTGGCTTGTAAACCACCTAGCTTGAGTAATGTCCATTCTGCTGCTGGCAATTCTGTACTTGCTATCCTGAATCCAAAGGAAAGATACTGAATGGGACGATGTGAAAGACTTAATCTGGTAAATGTCTTGGTGACTGTTCTGCTGGAGTGTCAGCTAATACCACTGCAGAACTTGTCTCTGGATGCTCCTATGCCTGCTCTTTAGTAATTCGTGTAGCGTAGTGCAGTGGAGTGTTAATTCGGGACTTCCAGTTCTGCAAGCAGGACCTCCATTGCTCAGTAGCCGGAATACTGTGCTCAACAGTCCTTTCCTGTGGAACTAGAAGGCTCAAGACAGGTCGTAAAAACCATTGGAGTGGCTTGGTGCTAACAAAGCTGTCTTTTCATACTGATTCAATTATGTTGTACAAATGTAAGGTGACTTTTTTTAGAACTGTTGCCTATATTAGGTTATATATGTGTATATATATTTTGCAGTGTTACAGTACAGTATGGGAATATGGCCTTACTAGCCTTTACACTTTATCCACAATGTAAATAAGCATTTGTTTAATACAGGTGGAAGATATATACAGAAAATTCAAAACTTGAATTCTATCAAAAGACTTGTGTAGAAAATTCTGATAAATGTGAAAGTATTTAGCTCTGTGTATTGAGAGTAGTATATTTTTATCTGTGCAATGCTGTGTGCAGGCCACCAGCTCATAAGACATTTCCTATATATTCATTTTAAGTGGTTTGAAATTCTTTACTCAGGATCTTTGACACTCTGAAGAATTAGTAGTTTGTCAATCTGCATGCTTGTTGAAGAACAGAGCATTAAAAAAAAAAAATAGCAAAAACCCCACAGCCCAGTAGTATCAGTTCTAGTGGTATATCTGAGCTGTTACTCTCATGCTCCCTAATTTCATTAAAGTATTTGATTTTCTATTAAATTTACTTGACAGTAGTTTCTTATGAGCTACACCACTGTGCCTACTCATAAGGAAGGAAACCTGGTGCTGAATGAAGAGATTGTCAGACTGCAGTAGGTTTAAGGCTACCCTGAGCTGTTACACCCTGAATGTGCGTGTAGTCGCTGTCACGCTGGGCCCGTCGCAGAGGCAGCGGCTGCTGCGTGGGGCGAAATTGGGCACTGCTCTTGGAGACTTTTGGGCTCTGCGAGCAGATCTTCCCAGAACCGCTGCCCGCTGGTTAAACGACTTCTCTCTGCTCCGGGGGAAACAACGTGCATGAGGGTTTTTTTGTGGTCAATCTTGTAGGTGCCTCAGCATGACAGCGGCTCTTCTAGCGTGTCTCTGAACTGCCAAGAGATCAGTTTGGATTTTTCTTAGTTTTTAATATGGAGGGAAAGCAGCTGCAAGGATTCGCAGTCAGCCTGCCTTTAGCCAGCCTCTAGTCTACCAGTTTCCTGGGCTGGAGTCTGCATAGGATTATTCTGTGTAATTACCAGTGGACGTATTTGTGAACTTGACTAATCTTTGTTTGAACTAAGCGATGCTTTTGACCTCAGCAGCTCCCTCCCATGTTCTGTTCCATAACAGCAATTTCTGCTTTGCACAACTGTTACCTGTTTGAAACGCATCGTTACTGGATAGTTTCAGTGGGTGCCCCTGTTTCCTGTGCAGGTGGAAGACTAGTTATTTCCCGGTGCCCTTGCAGGAGCAGTAGTTGGCTTGTAGTTCATTGCTGTAGTTCTGATTACATCTCGGCTGAGGAAAGGCCACTAATTGAGATAGGCAGCAGATAGCAGGAGAGCTCTGCGGAGCTTCAGCGCAGCACTGCTGTGGAATGTGAGTTAATCTGTTCCTGAATCAGCAAATCAGCCTTAACCTGACCTTCGCGCACAGGTGGAAACTAGTTATTTTATACTGGTGTGCTAAATGCTTGAGCAGAAGTCAAAGTATTAATGTAGCTCAGACATAATGTGATACAAAAAGTAAAACTTTGATCTATTTAAACATGAACAACCTGAAGTGACCCTGCTCTTTAGAGCTGCCACTTTACGTCTAATTCTTACTGCCTGGATGTTACTTGGAGCAGGTCAACCTCTAATCTCTGTTTACCAATTCCAGTTCTAAAAGGTAGTCAGTGTTTCCCTGTTTAATGACTTCATTCTGTTCCGGATGCTTCTGGAATTGCCTCTTTGTCCTGTTCCTGAGGTAAGCAGCTTATGGGGAGGCAGGTTTCGCAGCTGCAGCCTGCTCCAGACAGACTTTAGGAGGAATTACCTTAGTTAAGTCTCAGTTCTGCTGCCCGCAGACATGACCTTCCTCCAGTGCAAGTAGCACGGACAAGGATGAAGGTAAGACAGGAGCTGTGTACGTTTTTCTACATGAACATAGTGTCACTTGGCATAAAAATCGGCATCTGTGTTCTATAAACTACAGTGCTTATGTACAGTGATGAATAAATACTAATCTACTTCCTCGTACATTTTTTTTAAAATCTGGAGAGGAAAAAAACAAGGGGGAAAGTGTGTATATTTTTACATTAAAGTGGTTTGGTTCCAAAACAAAAGGGATTATATCACAGCATTAAAAGACGTCCTGTTCTAGAAGAGAACAATCTGTCTTTACCAGCAGAAAGCCCCGATACAGATCCCTACACAGAACGTCTTGGCAGCGAGGAGGGTTTGGGCGACGATGCTCAGAGTAGCTGAAGGAAGCGTAAGGTGGAACTGGTGTGATGTGGAGGCTGATGCGTTGGATGGCAGGAGATGCTCCTCTCAATAGAGGTGTGTCCGCCTTCACAGTCCGCTGGTGTGTGGCCAGAAGGGCCAGCAAATGTATTGTGCGTTGCTCAGGAGGTCCAAGGTCAAAGTTATCGCATGTATTTGGTGACTCGAGGGGAATTTACAAGTTTTTAAGCATTTGCTGTGCGAGAGCTGGAGTATCTGTCATACTTCACTCTGAAAGTAGCTGGCTTGGCGTTCTGAAGCAGTCAGTCCAGAGTTTCTATTTAAACTCTTTGCAGTGGTCAACTTGATTCAAAGTTTCATTAAATTTCCTTGAAGTTAGGAGTCTTGGGCATTCTGTTAGTTTAGGCACCTCTCTGCTTGGTACCAAACATAACATCCACCAATCTGCAAAAGCCGAGGGGTGGTGGAACATGCATTTCTCTAACTTAAAACGTAGCTGGCGGATCCCAGTTGGGTTTCATGAGCGGTGGTGGCTCTGACCCTCATCACCTGTATGCTGATGAACAGACTGCACAGGTAACAGCTGTAGTTGGTCTCTGGGAGATGCCAGAAGTGGGATCGTGAGCATCTTACCCCTTGACACGTGGAAAAGAGCAATGGGCTGGTGTCCAGTCTGCGGGGTGTGAAAAAGTTTCAGAGTGGACAAACATCTGTGATGGTTTTGATGTCGGACAGCTACAAACTGTTGAAACAACTGTTGGGACTTAAGTGCTGCTGACAACAGGCAAGCCAGAAGTCCCATTAACGGAGCTGACAGATTATTTTCTTCTCTTTTCTTGGCACCAGTTTGCATTCATTCACTTAATCTTCTGTAAGCACCGTTCCTCGGGTAGGTGTCAAGTGGATGCGATTGGGCACAATGCTGCAAAGAAGCCTGGGGGGGAAAAAAAAAAAGAAATCTGCCCAGTCTTTGCAGAAAACGTTAAGAAATATTGTGTCAAGTCGTTTCATATATTTAGTGCCCTGTTACAACCCCACTTGTTGTCTCTACATCTGAGGTCAGTTGGTTTCCCCAATGTTTCCTGCGGAGCTGAAAGGAATGGGGCTGCTTTGTGTCCTATCAGAAAAACGTGCATCACCCTGGGGTCGGCCGATGGGGGAGTGAGGGGGAACCACCGCCGCCTGGCAGCACTGCGGTGGTTCATGTGGAATGACGGGAAGAGATGGTCCATACCTTAACCACGACTTGGGGGATCGCCGTCCCCCTGCACGGGAGCCCCTGGGGAAGCTGCCAGTTGTTTGGTGACGAGGAATGAGGGTGAACCACCGCCGCCTGGCAGCACTGCGGTGGTTCATGTGGAATGACGGGAAGAGACGGTCCATACCTTAACCACGACTTGGGGGATCGCCGTCCCCCAGCCAGGCAGTCCCCCTGCACAGGAGCCCCTGGGGAAGCTGCCAGTTGTTTGGTGACGAGGTTGCCTTCTGAACTTGTTAGTTCTTCTGTTTCTACTCATTTTCCCAGGGAGCGGAGCTGAATATAGAATAAACGGTGTGTAATCCTGCTCTGACTTTATTCCACTAGTTACCAAAGGGTAACTGCTCTTTTCTAGACACCGTTAGTGTTCGATCTCGTGTGTTGCAGGAGGCTGGAGGAGCGGCACAGCCCGTGTTATGTCTGTCCTTGGATCCAGACATAGTCTCAGTCCCTGTAGTCAGAAAATATGACAAACTCTGACCCGACCAGTTCCCCCAGCTGAAACCTGTGCACAGTAGTTTCACTGTATTCACAGTACTGAGACCAATCTCTTTTCTTCAGCTCCCCACAGCTACCAGCGCTTGTGACTAAATAACAGATCATACAATATTTAGAACTTGTTTACCACCTGTAGTCCTACTGCATAAGAAAGAGAGAATCTAAGTTTTCATTTTAAGAAAACAGGGAAAAAAAAAATTCTAGTTCTCATGGTTACACACTAGGTTATGTACTTTAATACCCTTTCCGGCTGTCAAGTGAATTGAATTAAGAAAACAGGGAAAAAAAAAAATTCTAGTTCTCATGGTTACACACAGATTTCTGCGTTTTATAATCTTTGTATCAGGCTGAGCAAACGGAAGACAAGGAGCTTAAGTTTACCTAAAATAAACAAAAAAAAAATCACATTTTTTTTTGTGCGTTCATGTACAAGTCTCAGCTCTTACGGTGAGTTATGACTTCTGTTTTGTGAACAGCTGAGATTGCAACATGGCTCTCACTCATCAGAACATCTCTCTGGTTACTCCTGTGATCTCTCTATCTGATGTTCGTGTTCCCCTTGGAGAGAGGGTCTCTCACTGGCCCGAAACTTTAAAGGGACGGCGCACACTGAAACCTCTGACTTAGAAGACA